CTCAGTCAAGCTATGGCGCATCTGCCGATAAGTACTCAGCTGAACCCTCTGGCCGTCAGCCCTCTCCGAAGCCGTACCAGTTTGGTAGGGGTGGAACTGGTGGACGTGGCATGCCCAGCAGAGGCGGTCCAACAACTGCCTCCCAGGGTCCTACTTCCGGTGGATTTAATCGAGGTGATGATACGGAAACCAAGTGGGCCACTGGACCTACCCGTGGTGGCATGGACAGAGGTCGCGGTGGACGCCCGAATTACCGTGGGGGTAAGCCCCCGGGGTCTTCTTACGCCGACTCTTACGGAAATTATGGAAGACCTGATACTTACAGTGCAGGCTATACTACACACGGCGACAGCGAGTCTACAGACTTAAGACAGCCTCCTGCTGGAGGACCCCCAACTGGCAGTGGTCGTCAGGGTGGCTCGAGATTCAGTACTGCTCCAACTAAAGGCCCGGAATCTTACCCAAGCTACGAAACGTACGGAGCAAAACCTGAAGGTTTGTTTATTTTTATGTCTGTTGTTGTACACTTCAGGTAATATCCGTTAGCATTAATATGATACCTCCTAAAATATTAAGTTGACCAGCGTTCCGTGTTGGCCACGTTCTTTGCCTTTCATGAAAATGTACAAGACTAACGGATGGTTCCCATGTAATATAACGACAATTTATGGGCAGTCCGAACAAGTCTTTCGTACTGCTATGTTCGCCGCCAGTTTATAGTCGATAGTAGTTGTGCTTAGGGGCCTTTTTAACTAATAGGAATGTGATTTATTTCACTTACGCCACGTAGGTGTTAGATGATACAAACGGCAGTGTTAGTCTTTTGTCACATTAATAGCTTAAATATTCTGTTATGGTTTGACAATCAGTTATCCTTTTATCTGGATTTCCATTGATTGTCTACCGGTCGTTGGTGCTTTAAGATGGGCATGCTTCACTTATTCAATAGGGTATTACATTATTTTCCAACTTGCGTCTGACGCTAAGTGAGCTCCACCGAATAGCGAGGTGCAGCCAAAGGTCCGTGCAACCAATATTGGAAATCACAGCCCTCGTCACTGTATGTTGTTAATCGTTTCATTAAAGCTTCATGGGACTGTTTCCTAACAAGAAACCCTCTGAACTTGCGCGGTAGTTTGGCTAGTTAGATAGCACCTAGTCAGACTAATATCTTTAAATTCATCTCTGAATACGATACGAACGACGTTAGCCTTAAAACGAATGATCATTGACGCAGTTGACTGCGGTTGAATTTAATGCAAACAACTAACCCTTCGTACATACGAAGGCGTTGGGAATAGAAACTGAAAATTCTCTCTTCCTCGAGGTCTTCGAGGTTTTGGAAGGCGCCCAAGCGGTGCTCTGCCAACTCTTTAAAATCGCCTGTAAACTGGCATAATAAACATATATATACTTCGAAACTGCAGGTTCCTTAAAGTCGCTATTGCTCACGCTTTTCGGTGTATGAAAATCTTCTGTTGACTATACCATTTTATCTTTGATCCGCACTAGTAATTATAAACCTATTCCTTATAGGTGACCAAGACACAGG